CCCTTCACTGGTACTTGTGAGAGATTTAAAGAAACCTTTATTAATTTAAGTTATTTTTTGCATATCACTCATCTGTTAATTTTACTAAAAGTTGATAATAAATAAATAAATAAGACCAAGTAATTATTTAAACTGAGCTTAGGTATAAAATATTATTCGAAATTAGTCATAATCTTGTTGATGTTTATTGATGTTTGATATTTCTCAGTTCAACAACATCCACCACCACAAATACTATAAAAATAAATAAATAAATAAAATAGATTTCATCAAACAAAAACATTACATTACCTTGTTTAAAAGGGCAACGAGCAGGAGCTTCACCAATATGCATTTCCAATCCATAATTATTGCTACCTTGAAAAAAAAATGAATTCCACTTTATAAAGCAAAAATGTTATCATATAATACCAATGATTAACTATATACTTTAATTAAAAGGGCTTTTACTTGTTATTGCCACCACAAAGTACAAAGTTGTTACATATACCATTTCTCATTCAGTAATGTTGATGAAATCATTAAATTTCTAACGATAGCATTTATTATATATAAAATTATAAAAATTAAAAGTAACTTCATAAGAAGGCTTATCCATTTACCTTTTGAGAAACTTCAAAGATAGGGAAACCATTAGTAGATGCAGCTAATTCCTGTTCAAACTTTTCTGTTAATCATTTAAGCTGTATCTACAAAAAAGGTCTTTCATTTATCATTTTCTTTAAAAGAAAATAAGATTATGTTCAGGAATCAAAAGCATAGGATTGGAAAATAATGCATACCTTTCATCATGTTTGTCTTGAAAACTCTTCACAAATCAAAATATACCCATGATAAACAAATAGTAAAGTGTTCTAGGCATTTCATCGAGCAGTTAGGGTGTAGAAACATTGGTTGGGATGTCGAGCCCACCAAGCAAATTACACCCTTTGATTGCTAAATAAATGTAATATATTGGTAAAAAGGGGTATCGATCCTCGGGGAAATGGTTGTATTCAATCACCAATGCAATTCAATAGAACTAGTGAAATTAAACTAACTAACTACAATTAAAATAAAAGGGGGGTGTTTGATTACTTGAAAACTAAAATACTTGAATAACTAAAAACCTTGAAATTAAGCAAGTTGATGAGATGCTCAAAGATTGTGAATAATTGGTTAACTAAGGCAATTCAACACAATGAACATTTGTGTGTTTATCATTAGGATCTAATACAAAGCTTATCCTTCATCCCAAATTGGTTATAACAATCATGAAGCATGATATGCCAAGATTCCTCATAGGTAGTATGGAGGTTGGGGAAGCCCACAACACACCTTCTTAATTAAGATCAAGGGTCAATTGAAGCAATTAATCCCAAGAAATCAATTAGCCTTAAGAATGAAGGAATCCCCAATTCCTAGAGGATGTCAAATGCTTACACATCCATAAAGGAGATATGATTCATAAGCTAGAGATGATTTCTACCATCATAAAGCCCTTGTTCTAGATAAATTCAATGATCCAATGCAAAATCAATGAAATAAATCAACTATTGCTCAATCAAATACTAAGCTCATGATCAAAGTATCAAATAAGCATAAGAATTGCAAACTAGAATCATAAACATGGAATAAGTTGATAATCAACATAAATCCTTTAAAACCCACAAACATTCATTGGTTTTCAGCCAAAGTCAGCCAAATAAGAGTATTAGCCACTCATGGCAACAAAGTAACAAGAACAATAATCTAATTGCATAAAGAAACTACCTAAGATTTGGAAAGATGAAAGGAAATGGTTTTTAGCTCCCAAAATCGCCTCTTGCAGGTCTCCAATGGTGGAAAATCGTGAATGAGCTTCTAGATCTGATCCCCAAGGGTTATGGCAAGCCAAACGACCAAAATGCCCAAACTAGGCAGTTGCGCGGGTACCCGCACGACGGAAATTCCACCCGTGCAAATGTTGCTGTAATGCTATTGGTCCACCAAGCCACTCCACCCTTCCACTACCAAAGATTCCTTTGGTCCCCCCTCCTTGTCCATGTAATTTGAAATGCACCAATCATCATTTAGCCACCAAATGGATGCTCCAAGCCCAAAATTAGAAATTTATGATCCATCTTCATAAGCCCAAATAATCCAAGCCAATAACTTTCAAAGCCCAATTCTTCCTCTTTGATTCCGCCAAGCCCAATAATGCCTCGGGAGCCCACTAAGCCCGTCTCCAATCAACCCGCAACTGCAACAAGCACCGAAAAACCTACAAAATATCTTATGCAACATAACAAGCACCCGGTACGGTCCATACTAAAGAAAAATAAATAAAATACAATGCATTAATGATAAAAAGATCTAAAAATCTAAAATAAACTAATAAAAATAAGGAAATAAAATAAGCTATCAAACATCAAAGAAAATTCATGAAAAACTTACGGTCACAAATCCCTAATTCCTCAATTGACCAGTTACATATACCACCTATAACACATATAACACAACGTACCCACACAAAAAACACCATTCTTCTTCCTATTTCACATAAAAAAACCAAAAATTTACGTCAGGCAAAGCTTATTAGATGTCAAACTAAAATACTAAAGCTGAAAGCAAGTTCGAATTTGTATAGTCAAGTAGAGCAAAAATCGAAGAACCCAAGTCAATTAAACTAAGAGCAACCACGACAAGAGAGTTAACATCTTTCTTTATTGCCTCCCCAAAGAAGATACCACATAGACATCACTTTGGGGCCATTCTGGAGGCTGTGGAGAATTTCAATCATGTAAGGTAACTAACCTGTGTCAAGAAGTGTATGTTGGTGAAATCGATTATCTGATATCACACCATAGTGAATAACCTTCTTACGGCCGCATGATGGAAGCGAGAGGTCGTCAGGGAACAGGAATGGCATGAGAAAAAAACGGGACGAAAACCCTACATTAGAAGGATGATGAAGATGGTCGATGAAGTGTTGATATGTGGTGAAGAAGAGGGGGGAAACACCTAGGATGACCACCAATGGAGGCCGACGACTGCAGGTTTCTAATCGAAGGTGAATGTGGGTGGAGCTAAGGTACAAATCGGATTTGATGAAACCATCGATTCAGTTGGCTAGCATAGAACTGGTGATGGGACTATACAGGGAAACGGAAGAAGGGAGAGGCGGTGGAAGTGAACGATTAAAAAAGAATAGAGAAGTATTTGAGATAGGATTAACTAAGGTGGAGTTAAATAGGGATGTCAATTGATGACACGACACGATAAAAATACACGAAACAAAACGAAATTGAGACGAAATTGAAATTCGAATTTGTGTTCATGTCAGGTGTAAAAAACACGACGTCGTGTCGTGTCGTGTTCATTCTCAAAATTTGACACGATTTACCATTTTTTGTCGTGTTTTTCGTGTTATGTATGAATAAATATTAATTAAATACATTAATTTTTATTTCATGTTATCTTTGTCGTGTCGTGTCGTGTTTGTCGTTTTTTAATCTGTTCGTTTTCGTGTTAGTTAAAAAAAAAAACATGATATTATGTCGTGTCATGTCGTGTTCGTGTTACATAAAACATTGTCGTGTCGTATCGTTTCAGACAAAAATATGACACGATGGCTCGATTTGTCACCCCTAGAGTTAAATAACCGTAAGGAACAGAACAGTACCTGGTTAGTACTGTTCCTAAAGGAATGGAGAAATATTTGAGGCGGTGTAGGATTAACTAGGGTGGAGTTAAATAACTCCTATCGAACAGTACCATGGTTAGGTACTTTTCCTAAAGGAACACAAAATTAAAAAAATACTAGAGAAGTATTTGAGGCAGCGGAGGATTAACTAGGGTGCAGTTAAATAACCCTATGAAACAGTACCCTAATTAGATATTATTCCTAAAGGAACACAAAATTAAAAAAGAATAGAGAAGTATTTGAGGTGGTGGAGGATTAACTAAGGTGGAGTTAAATAACCCTATGGAAGAGTACCATGGTTAGGTACTGTTCCTAAAGAAACACAAAATTAATATATATATATATATATATATATATATATATATATATATATATATATACACACACTCTCTGTCATGATTTATGGTTTGAATGGACAAGAATGAAAATGGATAATTTATGTTTATGTACTCACATGTAGGAGGTTTTTAAATTATGTTTATGTCCCACATAGTGAAAGCTCTTATTGTGGTTTTTTTCTCCTCATATTTAGGAGGTTTTTGTTTTGATTATAAAGTTTATTGAGTTTGATTCCTATTGATTCACACAAAGGAGAAAATCATATGATTTGTGTGTGGAACATGTTTATAAATATTACACTTGTTAATAGGTACTGTTTTCTCTGACACTATCTGTGTATTGAATCAATTGTATATTGTTGGTATTGTATTATGCAAGATCCTACACACTATGGTCTGCTTTCGTATATACGAATAATATAAATGTGACTCCCTTATGTATGAGTTTGTAGAGTTTTGCATCATGAATTAATGCCAGATTTTTTTTTATTAAAATTGTGGATGTAATTAGGACAAAATTAATGGAGCAATAAACTTTTGCAGTAACAAATCAACTGCCAAAGTGCATTATAAGCTGATATAGAGCCTTCTTAATCATTCGCCCTACATATCAAAGAAGTAAGTTCCTGAAATCTTAAAACTTACAGAACGCTTTTAAGCAAATAGCACTTGTATCACGACAACAACCCATGGCCATAGAAATATATTTTTATAAGTGTATTCTTCACATAAAACAAGGTTGCAGTTGATACTCATACTGGGCTTACAAACATATTAAAGTTTTATCTCTTCTCTGGAATACCCTCAGTATCTATATACAGCAAAAATCATATGTTCTATCAGCAAGGCAACCTGTAATCACTCTCCATATAAACAACATAGGATGAGGCAAACTGGAATATTGACCAACTGGTGTGACTTGTAGAAATGTACTAAAATCACAAATATCATATGAGAAAGACAAAATTTTACAATAGAATTATCAATTTCATACGCAATTCTTTTTAACAAAAGAAAAAGAATTAAAAACAGCAATGATCAATTATCAAACCACTATGAAACTGAGACCAACTAAAGTGACTCTTGAATAAACTTCTCAGCGTAGACTTTGGTTGACAGCAACAAATTCATTAACTGAAATTGGTAACATAGTCAGATCATTTATAAAAGAAATGACCAAGAGGATGCCATAAAAACTCGACAGAGGAATTTGAATCATGTTGGATCGTAAATGTCTTTCTTTCATAAAGTTCCTCCTCATCCCAAAATTCTGAGGAATCTGTAGCGACTTTTGTTGTTTGCACTGTATCATCTTTAGGAACGAGTACAGCTCTAAACTTATACCCATCTCCATACAAACCCTCCGGGTCTAAGGAAAATGAAATGATTTTGTAAATTGAATTCAAGCATCCAGTGTGCCTCAATGAACTAAACGAAACATATCCTACGTATGTGTCAGGGTTATGAGTCTTGAGTGTTTCATTAGATTTCTGACCAAGCTCACATTGAAAATTTTCATGTACACCCACCTTGATGGCTATGTTAGGGTCGCTATCAAAGTTCTTGTTGCTTTGGAAGAACATCAAAATCCCAGAAAAGTGATTGTACCAATCATGTGGAAGCGACATATTATAATTCTTCACCAAGTCGACCCAAAGTGCAGATGGCCCACTCCAAATGTCCATGTTTGAAAGGTTGATACTGATAAAGTAATCTTTGGCGTTCCCCTGCCACAAAACAACACATTCATTATGATTCACATGTATTCTTCTTATGTTTTGGTTTTATATAAAGACTGAAATACAAAAGCCAAACCCGGAACATGGAGTCTAGTATTATGTCTCCAGCAAGTTTTTCCCCCCAAAGAAGTGAGACTTTCCACAACCATTTACAGTTTGAAATATCTCCAAGGGTCTCAAGTGATGTACAATCATCCGCTAAGACAACAGCTACACTTGATGGGAGCTCTGACAATTCGACAAGGTCATAGCTGTATGACACATTGAGACATTTGAGTCGAGGAAGTCTAGAGAAACTAAAACTCAACCTTACAAATCCATTTCCTTCTAGACTGAGTTGTTGCAAGTTGGGTAACTCCCAACCAACAGCAGATCTGAAGTCTCCATCTCCCAAATTACACTGTGAGAGATCCAACTTTCTTAAGCATCGACTAGAAAACCCTGAGAGTGTAAGAGTCTCGAGTTCCTTTGATCGGGAAATGTCTGGAGGCATCTTAAGATTGCGACTATAGTCTATCTCTACAAAAGCAAGCTTTTCCAAATGTCCAAATGATGGATGAATCTCTTCTAAATGAAAACATAAATAAACCATGAATCTTTCAAGGTTCGGAAGCCCGCTAAAATCTGGTGTCTTTATTAGGGTCTTCAATTCATGAAGTTCAATCATCCTCAAATTTGGGAGATACTGTATACACAAGTTCACATAACTTAAAAAAAATATATGATGAACCATCTTATATTTTGTTATGTTTGTAAACATGATTTTTTTTTAAAAATTCTGTCTGAAACTACGTATGTTTTAAGAAATTGGTCAGAAACCATCACATTTTAAAAGAAAATATGATCTCTTTATCGTAATCAATTTTTTATGATAACAAAATTGTCATATAAAATCTGTATACAAAAAGTGAATTATAAAACAAGTCATGTTTACAAAAGAATTGTCTTAAAACAATTTTTTGTAAAGTGTATCATTATAGATATTTCGAATTTATCATCAAAAGTACTCATTATAGGAAAACTTATTTAAGAAAATAGCCATCTTAAAAAAAAATATTGTCAATATAAAATTGCATATGTTTTAATAAATCTCTATACATAAAACTATGGCCATATTTACAAATTTACCATTGACCATTATGTTTTAAATTCTAATAGAAGTGAAATAGAAAAATAAAAAAATAAAAAAAAATGACCTGATTTAAACAGAGTTGGTTTCAGCTTTAAAAGTTTAAACATGTTTGGTCCGAAACTGAACCTTAAACTGAATTCATACTTGAGTTTATTTTAATATAAAGAATATAAGCCGAAAATATCAATGTTTTAAGTTTGAAGAAAACAGAAAAGCACAGTTTTGGTTCCGGTTTTCAAATGGAATGGACTAAATTATGAATCAATAAGTATCCTAGCTACAAGTATTACATGGCGTAATGTATAAGTTACCTTTCCAACGGTCCTATGTATATATCATTCAGACCAAATTCTTAATATTTATTAATAATAGCTTCATATAACACAAGCAAAAACAATAAACTTAAAAATAAGAATTACCTTATAACCCTCCCAAAGTTCTTTTCCATGAAAGCCACGCAATGTTAGACAACAAAGCTCCCTTGGTGGAAAATTTTCTGGCATTAATGGATGTGTGGTCTCAACCAAACCATCTTCTAGCCGTTCAAAGTTCAAACTTATCCACCGAAGTTTTTTCATGTTTGCAGCGACCCAAAGAACACATCCATCATCACTCCTAAAATGGTGACCGCATATAGCTTCAATCTTGTCAAGTTCCTGTGATAGAACAAAATGGTGTCAGGATCAAGTTCAGAGTGTTTCTTTATATATATATATATATATATATATATATATATATATATATATATATATATATATATATATATATCTCATGAAAAGCTAGCTTAATCACTACCATCGTTGCATCCATTGCACATAGTGTCAGAACATCTTCTGCCTTCCAAATCCTACTATGTTTTTCAGGGTTCGTAGGGTATTCCCCTCTAACAATATAGTGTGCCAACTCTTGTACCAAATCATGCATATCAAATGTTCCATCCTCAGAAATAGTTATGAGAGCCTTTTGTACCAACACCTTTATGCCTATAACAGGGTGAAAGCCACAAGCATCAAGTATCAATATTGCATGTTCAATTTTACACCCCCTTCTAAAGAAACATGCAATATCAAGGAACAACTCTTTCTCAATCGGTTTAAGTCCATCAAAGCTGATTTTTAGCACTTCGAGAATACTAGCATCTGGTATTTCTTTCAATCTAGCCAAGGCACTCCTCCATTCATTCATCTCTTTGTCACATAGAAAACGACCCAGAACTCTAAGTGCTAATGGGAGCCCACCAGCATATGAAACCACATCTTTTGAAAGCTGCTCATAATCTTCTATAGTTTTGTGACCCCGGGGTGCATGCTTGCAAAAGAGCTTCATAGACTCATCATTGTTTAATAAACTAATATTGTGTATCACATCTACTTTGTGTCCAGTTAATACATGCTCATCTCTAGTGGTGATTATTACTCGGCTTCCTTCACCAAACCAATAACGTGATCCAGCTAACTCTTCTAGGTGCTCAAGGTTGTCGACATCATCAAGAACAATGAGGACCTTTCTATGTTGTAACCTATCCTTTATCATGCGTCTTCCTTCTTCAACTCTCTTTAACTTCAACTGCTTTAGTTTCAAAATATCACAAAGAATTTCTGCTTGCAGCTTTGTTAAACCATTCTTATTACTCGATTCCTCCTGAATATTTTTTAGAAAGCAGCAACCATCAAACTTGCTAGATATTTTATCATATATACATGAGGCAAGAGTAGTCTTACCACCACCCCCAACCCCCCATATTCCAATCATTCTCTTACCACCAAACCCAATTTGTAACTTTGATATCAAATCTTGCATACGAGCCTCTACTCCGACCAGGTTGTCATCCACACTTGAAGTACTTATCAGACGTAACCTATGTGAAATTGTGTAAACAACTGTTTCAATGCACTTTGACTCATGCCTGCAAATTAAATATATAAGGATCATTAACACATGCTCAAATTGACAAACAGCCTCGTCATAAACTATTACCCGAAAGAATTGTCTATTTTGCGAGTTCTTAGCAAATGTTAATATCCAGTAGCAATAATTATTATTTGTCGCTAATCAAGTTATCCACTCAAAGCCTCTGGTTATCAATTAAGGCTATCAACATCATCAAGAATAATTAAAACATTTGTATTACAGCCTACTTATCAACGTGCGGCATCTTTCTTCAGATCATACTTGTGGGATCCCATCTAAAATACAGATATTGTAATTGGATTATTCCGTAGCACAATTATAATCACTTACAACATCGTAAATGACTCTTTTTTTTTCTAAAAATATGTATTTTATAATCAAGAATTTGGCTTAATCCTTTAAAAGCTTATAAGGTATAAGGGTAAATGTCTTGTCGTAGAGCACATATATCTTAAGCATTAAAAGTGCACAAAAAAATATGAAAATTACCCGTTGGCAATGTGCTTGGGTTCCCATCCAGAAAGGTTACTTGCATCCACAAGTGCTTTTCTCCAAGATTCAACCTTGGTGTTCTTCTCCAACTCATGTTTAGCAAATGCTTCTCCATATTTCCCCTTTTGTTTTCGCACTTCAGAGGGATCCACATCATAAAATATGGGCATAACGATTTGGTCTCTCGTGTCCTTGCATTTCATGATATGCACAAGTTCATCTAAGCACCATGAAGAATCTGCATAGTTTTTAGAAAATATAATGATGGCTATCTGTGATTCTTCGATAGCCGTCACAAGAGATGGACCAATTGATTCGCCCTGGGGAAGTGTTTCATCGTCTTTGTAAGTAAAGATCCCTTGTTGTACAAGAGCTGTGTACAGATGATCCACAAACGTCTTACGAGTATCTTCTCCTCTAAAACTAAGAAAAACATGGTACTTCCACAATTGAGAAGAAAAGACCGGCCCTAAAGAAGACGATGACGATAAAGATGCCATCCATAAGTTAATTTGTTTGAGATTGAATGTATGTTATTTGAGCAACTCAATGAAATGACCCATATATATATATATATATATATATATATATATATATATATATATATATATATATATATATATATATATTGAGAGAGAGGGAGAGACATGTGAGTTTCCAAGAAATTTTCAATTTACTAAATTCTCAAGAAACACTCGACATTTTCAATAAATCAAGTTGTTTTCACATTGAAGTTGTCATTATTAAACTCATGTTTTTTGAAGAAAATATGGAGGACACTTTTGGAAGGGAAAGTTCTCACAAGAAAGCAAGAGATGGAAATAACTAACCTTATTGTTAAAACTATATCATAGTTTTTTTTTTAAAATTGAATATATGATATTACTTTGTAACAAAATAGAAAGAAATATACAAATTTAAAATTTCTTTAAGTTTGTAATAAAAAAGTATTTTGTTTTACCAATGTTAGGTGACTTGTTCTTGTCATTAGACATCTTTATATTTGCATTTTAAAGAAGAAAAGACAAATGTCTCCCCTGGATGATCCCACCAACTATATATACTACAAATATGAGGGACATAAATCATGAGGTCACCAGACTTAAATATAGAACTTAACAAACTGATTCTCACCTACTTACCGCTAATTAAAACACAAGGGGACAAAATTTAGTAATCAATCTATATTTATTCCATAAGTTCAAACATTGGAATCTTTTTATATTTTCTTTTTATTGGTTGATTAACTTTTTGAGAAAAACACAAATATACTATAAAAGATTTTCCATTATTTTGTCAAGAAAAAAAAAACAAACCAAAAAAAAAATGAATATATATAAATAATGATTTTCCATCTTTTTGTAGTTATAGGGTCCACATAACTGTCTTTGATTTATTAATTTATCTCCTTAAATTGAGTAACCACAATAATTGTATTTTTGCTCCATAGATATCCAAAATATATCACAAAAACGTGAAAAGGACAAAAGTAACAAAAAAATGAATTTCCACGTCACAATACTGTATTGTTGATTCATTACAAATATGTTACTGTAAATTACAAATTTTGTCCTTGCACTAGAGTGAAAGCTATGAATTTGGTCCTCAAAAGATTCTTTTATGCATGCACCACATCCTTGTGTTAAATAGTGTCGTTAAATATTTTTTATAAAGGACTATGTCTTATTTTACACAAACTTATTTCCTCCCCCATCTTCTCTTTAGTAAGTGGTTGATTGACTTTTTAAAGAATCATATATATGAAATTTATTGTCAATATGTGCCATTATTGTGTAAAGAAACATAAATGAACATAAATATATTATGAACATAAACTTTATCTAGAGTTATTGATTAAAAACAGAGCATGATGAATCACATGCCAAAAGATAATGGGATTAGATTTCAAATAAAGTTGGTTGAGAATATGAGATCCACCACAGGTCAAATATAACTGTTTTAGTCTTAGATGCCATATCAGTTTCTGGGTTTGTTGGGAATATTTGGGATGCTTTACAAAACCGAAAAATGATTCATTATATCATCAATGCCGACAAAGACAAAATTTGATTGATTCATAACAAATTAAAATTTATATAACTACGAGTTGAGTTGTATTCCACGTTTTCAAGGTTTGGATATAGGATACTTCTCTCTTTCTTTTTTACCGATTGGTTACTTTTGCTATTATTTTTATTTTGTCTTTTTGTTGGTTAATTTGCTTTTTAGAAAATAAACAGCTATCAGCTTAGTTGTATACTGACAGTATATCCTAACAAACTTATTTCCACTACTGCCCTACACATGGCTTGGGCCTTCTCTCATAAACTTTCCAAACGTGGGGTTTGTTGGGCTAAACCCAAATGGGGGTTTGGTGTCTGGATCCTTATAATATATCATACTTTTAAGTTTAGAAATTAGATTTTTTTTCTTGACTTTTCAGATAGGGCAAAATACATAAAAAGACAACCATTTATCTACTAACATTCAAAAAACCCCTTACATTTTGTTTGTATCCATAAAAACTCTTATATTTTCAGTTATCTTTCACATTAACCAAAATATCCGTTTTTTTAAGAAATTAACGGTTGTTTTGTAACATGACATTTATCTTTTTCGTTTTTGGTTGACATGGAAACACAAAAATAAGTGGCATTGCCTCTTGTCTAAGGTAAAACATTAGAAATAGATCATTTACTCAACGACTCTTTACTCAAGCAAAAATAAGTGACATCACTTATTTTTTCCCATGTCAACCTAAAAACGAACAACAGAAAAATAACTGAAAATATAAGGGTTGTTCTGCAAATAAAGAAAATGTAAGGGTTTTTTTAATGCCGCTAGATAAATGGTTGTGTTTTTCTATCTTTTTATATTTTTGAAGTTTAGACATTGAATTCTTTTTATCTTTTCTTTTTATTGGTTGGTAAGGTTGACTTTTTAAAGAAAATACGAATATATGTAACTTATTTTTCAGAATATATATGTGACATTATTTTGACAAGAAACATAAATAAACATATAAATTAGGTTAAATTACACGAATGGTTCCTAACTCTTTTTTTTAACTTGAAACGTCCCTATGGTTTGATTTTGTTTCGATTTGGTCCCTAATCAAAGTAAAATGACTATAATACCCTTAATGATATTTTTAATATTTATTAATTTTTCTATACTATTTTATATATTACTAATGGACCCTACCCCCATCCCCATTATCCCTTTCTTTATCATCCTCCTGTCACCGGAAAACACATTGACCGCCTGAAAAATAATAACCCGGTCGCCAGTAAACACCATGACCGCCAGAATAATTATCATTCCATTCTCCAAACAACATGAAATTATGAAACAAACAATTAACCAAGGGGAAACTCTACATCAAATAGGACACCTGTGAATCCAAACTCATACGCTTTTTTTGTAACCAGTTGTTGAATTAAATTACAAGTATTTGTTGTAATATAATTTCAAGATATAGAGACGATTAGATTTAAATGTATGAAATATATTGGATTGTTATACTAAGTCTAAGAAACATTTACTAACTCATGTCAGTTTCTAACAAATACTTACCGATTATTTTTGTGTTTCATACTTTCTTCGAAAGGCAAGGAAGAAAGAATTAGAAAAGTTAAACAACGGTTGCAGACAAACTTACCTGATGATAAGCATGGCTATCCCACACATGCTTGTACTAAAACCTACACCAACACCCACCAACCCCGAATGCTAAAAGTACAACAGACACCCATTATATGTGAATAATGATTTTGACTCTGCATTTTCAAGTAGAATTGAATAAGATCAATGTTGTTAGTATCATGGTAAAAACATAAAACAAGTACGAACTTTCTTTGATGCTAGTCTCACACATATGTGGTACCCCAAGGATAACCCACCCAAGATTAACTTTATGGTGATGCGAATTCACCCAACTAAGTATGAGATGACATATTGACATTGACATACTACATTATACCTACAATGGAGAAATAATGTCTAGGGGCCTAAAATGTAAACTAATGTGACCAATGAAAAGAAAGGATGATGAAACAAGCAGTTGTCAGACCTGCAACTGGTTTACTTAAAGAAGCAAAACCAAACTCAGCATGCTGCCAATAGAAAGTTTATGCAAGATTTGAGGTCGCTATTAAAGTTATAGAAAAAAAGTATTAGACAGACAGTATTTGTCAAATGATCATGTGGTAACTGCAATGGTAGTCACCTAATTCATAACCATTGTATTACTTGATACAACTCTAGACTCTGCAAAAGTACTTTACTTTATGAACCATCAGGCTTAAACTACAAAAATTCACATTCCAGTTCTAAATGCAATGAAGTTTTGTTAACCTTTTCTGTAAATGCATAACCAAATTCATTCCAATAAACATACAACTTGGTAGTAATTAAGGTTTCCCAAAATTCAAACTAATACTAATTACGCACAGTTTGTAGTAGGACTTGAACCAAATTACATTCGAGAACAATTACGCATAAAAATCTAAAACCTTCATCTACACTTTTGTAAATACAAAATAGGCAAGATGTTTGGGCAGGTGGGTGCTGCTTGTGAGCATCTTTACCAAGTTTATATGCCTCAAAGAGTGTCCCCAGACTATTTGCTCAATCAAAGAAAAATGAAAAGCTTATGAAACATAGGCATGGAAGTTACTAGTTAGCAAACACTTGGATGAATTATTAGGGCATGGTACGTCAAGCTTCATGGAACAAGCAATTTAGGGATTATTCCGGTTCTTGGAACTTTAGCATAGTCACTGTACATGTAAAGTAGGGTATGGCTGTAAAAGATAAAATAACTAACAGCATGCGAGATTTCTCAATCATGATACTAATGGTACTTTACTATTATAAGAGCAAAAACAATCCATTCAAAAAACATGTTTATATAAGGGTAACTTGCCTGGAGCTCCACCCCCTTCGATTGAAAGTCATCACCAAGACATGAGGGGAAATTATCAGCAGCATACCTTATACCTACTCAAATTAGGTTCAGAAATACAACGAGGTCAAGGGCGAAAGAGGAAGGAGAAGAGGGTGAGTACGACATTTACTTTACCATATTGGATTCCATGAAAGAATGGGTAGAACTTGACCGATCAGAGGCTTCTGCTGAGTTGTTACCGTTGGATTCTACAATGTCCGTCGACAACGATTTATCTGTTTTTCTAAGCTGTGAATCTCGACTGATGTGTAAGATTTGGGGGTAGAATCTTGGTTGAAATCTTGAACCTTTTGACTTCAAAAATACAAAACCAAGACGGTGATAGCAGACTGTGGTCACAGATAGTGGTGATAGTTTTAGCATCGAACTGTTGAAAAAGGCCCAAATCTAATCACCAAGCACCAAAAGAGGAAGCGGGACTTCAAAACCTAAACGTTGATTAAGATTTCCAAGAATTGACTAGGATTTCAAAACTCATCGGTCTCTTAAACGTCATTGATTGTTGATTGTCTCAAGTCTTAAGATTTCTAA